AGGGAATCACCAGGGTGGAGCCAACAGCAATGGCTGCCAGTCAACCCTGCACCAGGGAGGTAGCAGCACAGGAACAATGACCACTTGGAGCACCTCCGCCTGGAAGACACTGCCCCACATTACTGCCCTGATGCCAGACAGTCCAATTTCTCCCAATATGTGTCTGGGTCTCCCCAAGTCTTTCCCCGCACTGAAGCTCAGAGCAAATGGGAGCTTGCATCTCCCACCTGATTTTAAAAAGTGGCACACCCAGGTGCCAGTCCCTTTCTACTCCTCCACATCTCCTACCAGTCTCAAGGAGCTTTCTTCTTGACCTCTCTAGTTTTAGTACTTCCACTCAGCCAGCTTTCCCATGGCACTGTATGGTAGTTGTTATGCATTTTAGTTATAATTTTGACATGGCTAGGGGATGCAGCAAGTACAGGTGTTTACCTATGCCTTCATCTTGGTTGTCTCTGACAACGAGTTATTAACAGTGACATTTTTGCATTTTTGCATTTCTTATGATTCTAAGGGCCTCATTTACAGTATAGAAATATGTATTGTGGCATATTTATGCATTTCAATTCTCTATTATATGTTTTGAAACTATTTGTTATTTTTTCATATCACTTCCTATTATTATATTTTAAAACAATTTCTTAGTGATTGCTTCCTCAATACTTCAGCTGTCCTTTCATGCTTTTATTTTTCTCTTTCATGAATGTCATGTTCTTTGGAGACTCGTTTAGACCAAGTTAATGGGGCCTTTTAGGCTTCTCCCACGTGAATAGGAATTCACTTTTTTTAAAATAAATCTTAATTGTTCAAATAAAGATTTCCCTCCATTGCTCCCCTCCACCAGGTTCCCACTCCACCCTCTGCCCTTTCCCCACATTGTCCTTATCCATAGGTGCAGTTTATGTTCAGTCTCTTCCCGCAACCCCCACTCCCCTTTTCCCTGAGAATCGTCAGTTCACTCCCCTTCCATACCTCTGATTCTATTATATTCAACAGTTAATATTGTTCATCAGATTTTTTAATTCCCTTGGTTTTTAGATTCACTTGTTGATAGTTAGGTATTTGTTGTTCATAATTTTTATCTTTATTTTCTTCCTCTTCCTAAAGAACCCCCTTTAGAAATTCATATAATTCTGGTTTGGAGGTGATGAACTTCTTTAGCTTTTTTTTATTTGTGAAGCTCTTTATCTGGCCTTCGATTCTGAGTGATAGCTTTGCTGGGTAGAGTATTTTTGGCTGTAGGTTCTTGCTGTTCATCACCTTGAATATTTCTTGCCATTCCCGTCTGGCCTGCATGGTTTCTGTTGAGAAATCAGTTGACAATCGTACGGGTGCTCCTTTATAGGTAACTACCTGCCTTTCTCTTGCTGCTTTTAATATTCTCTCTTTATTTTTTGCTCTTGAAATTTTTTTTTTCTCTTGGAATTTTAATTACTATGTGTCTTGGTGTGGTCCCCTTTGGATTTCTTTTGTTTGGGGTTCTGTGCACTTCCTGGACTTATAAGTCTAATTCTTTCACCAGGTGGGGGAAGTTTTCTGCCACTATTTCTTCCAATATGTTTTTGGTATCTTGCTCTCTCTCCTCTTCTGGCACCCCCATAATTCTGCTTTGGTTCTCTTGAAGTTTTCCCAGAGGTTTCTTACATTATCTTCAACTTTTTGGATTCTCTTGTCTTCTTGCTTCTGCAGAGGAGTGTCTTCAGGCTCTTTATGTTCCAAATCTTTGACTTGATTCTTGCGATCTTCCATCCTGTTTTTAGGATTCTGTATAATATTTTTTTATTTCAGACAATTTATTCTTTATTTCTAGTTGATTACTTTTCAAATCCTTATAGTTCTCATTTATTTTATTGGCCTTTTCTAGGAAATTCTTGAAAAGCCTTATAACTGTGGTTTTGAACTCTATATCCAGTCACTTGTTGTCCTCCATCTCTTTTGTTTGTGATCTGTTTCCTTGTCTCAGCATTTTCACAGCTTCCCTGAGTTGGGAGGGTGGCTTTGTGTGCTAAGGTATCCCATATGGTTCAGTGGGTCAGCCTCCTAGTTACCTGAGGTGGATACTCTTGGTGCACCCCTTTGTGTACAGCCTTATTGTAGTTAAGACTTGATTATTGCTGGTATCACTGGGAGGAACTGACCTCCAGGCAAATTGGCTGTGAGGATCAACTGTGTCTATGCCGGGAGACAGCCTTATTCGACTAGACTTGGAAAATTGCAAAAGCCTCTGTACTCAGCTTGGATGGGGAAAGTTTCAGGGTGGAGCCTACAGCCTTGGCTTCCTGTCAGCCCCACCCTATGAGGTTCTTGAGTCTCAGTGTTCCTCAGTGTCCTTTGGTACTTGCTGCTTTGGTACTCACTGCAAACAGCTCTGAAAGAAAGGTGCCCTTGAATTTTCGCCCACTACCAGACAGTCTAGTCTCTCTCCCAATGAGCCCAGAACTGGGGTTCAGTGCAGTTGGAAGTGGGGTTGGAAGTGGGGTTTAGTGCATTCTGGAGCTTTTGTCTCCTTCTGCTAGGGCAATCCAGCAGCACAGTTAACAGTCCATCAACTGCGCGCAATGTGCATGCCTCCGGGACTCTGGTTTTTGCCCCTCCCCTGAGTTTCCGCTTTACAGCCCAGATTCCCTCCATATGAGCCTGGGTCCCCTGGGTCTTGCCTAGAACTGGGGTTCAGTGCAGTTGGAACTGGGGCTCAGCACAGTCCGGAGTTTTTGTCTCCTTCCCGCTCGGGCAATCTAGCAGCACAGTCAACAGTCTGTCCTCTGTGTGCAATGTGCATGCCTCCGGGACTATACCTTTCTCCGCTCCCCTGAGTTTCCACCTTACAGCCCAGATTCCCTCCATATGAGTCTGGGTCCCCAGGGTCTGGCTTGAAACTGGGGTTCAGTGCAGTCTGGAGCTTTTGTCTCCTTCCTGCTAGGGCAATCTAACAGCACAATCAACAGTCTATCCCTTGAGCGCAACTTGCATGCCTCAGGGACTCTGCCTTTCACCACTCCCCTGAGTTTCCACCTTAGATTCTAGATTCCCTCTGTATGACCCTGGGTCCCCAGGGTCTCGCCCAGAACTTGGGTTCATTACAGTCGAAACTGGGGTTTAGCACAGTCTGGAGATTTTATCTCCTTCCTGCTAGGGAACGCTAGCCAGACATGCAGCTGCCCCTTCTCTCCAGCTCCGTCCTCTCCCCACACATGCAACGTGTCTCTGTACTTTAGGCTTTTACAGCTCCTCTGATTTTCCTTCTGGTTTTCTCTTTCCTTCTGGTTGTAGAATTTCCAGTCAGTCAACTTTCCTATAGTTTTGGATAATGTCCATTTTGTATTTTAGTTGTATTTTTTAAATTGTTGTGTGAGGCTGCAGTTAGGCATTTACCTATGCCACCATCTTGGTTTCTCCCAGGAGTTCACTTTTTTAATAGTAAGAATTATATGTCACAGGAGGGGCATCAGGATTTTATAGATGCTTATGTGGGATATGGCCAACAAAAAGGTTGGAACCACTGCTCTTTATGCACTTTAATTTTTGGAGTTTACTTTTTGTGGTACTCTTAAAATGGGTACTACTTACTTTTAAAGTGTTTTCTTTCTCCTCATTTTTAAAAAACCTTTAGCCAAGAAGGGCCTAGAATATCACCTGTGGTTCTCTTATTGCTATGAAAGTTCTGGTACTTAATTCCATTCTGTTTAAAGTGCCTAGGAAAAGTTCTAAATCTCTGCATTGGTAAAGAAACTTCCTCATCTAGGGAGAGCAGGCAAGAAAGAAATAGAACATTTTATAAGCATTGTATTGATAAAATTTAAACATTTCTGAAAGAACTAATCATTTGAGGAATTGTGAATCTACTGAATTTCAAATGTATTATTGGCAAAGTGTACATTTGTGCAATTACTTAGAAAAAAGTTGGTATTATATCCTAAAATTGAATTATTAATTGATTAATAAATTATATCAAAGGAGCCATGTTTGGTGAGATAATAATTGTGATTCACATACCAAGGGTTATAATTAATCCATCTGTATGCACTTGAGGCCAGACTAATTCCAGGATGGCTGGACACCCAGATGGGCATTATTTGGTAAGCCTAATCCAAAACTAGAAGGATTGTGGAAAAGGCTTGTTTTAATCAGAACGATGTACATTTAGAGTAGTGTTTGCTTCATGGAATAACCAATTACTTTATGAAACAAAAAATAAAGAAAGAAGTAATAATTATTTTCCAGTGGTTACTTAAGGTGCAAGATTTTTAATGATAAACAAAATAATGTGGTTGGAGAGCACATCAAATGGAGAGTTTTTTACTTTGCGCATTTGGGAGAATGTGAGTTCCTTCCACATGCACAGGAAAAGTGTGTCTGTCATTCATATAATTCAAGGGTAATGATCTTACAAATTCTAATCAGAAAACTTTAGGCAATTTTACATAGTTGCATTTAGCATTTAAGCTAACATAACCAATTACGTATAAAGCAACTTGGCTTTTGTAAGGAAAAATTATAAGACCAGTAGAAAAAATGTAGAATCATTAACTAAAAAGAAAACACCCAATTTTTTTTAAAACTAAATTCCTCACAAATAATAATTTGAAAGACAAAGAGAAGTGCCATTAACAAGAGGAGAGATGTTTCATTGTGATACCAGCTAGTATTTATTGTACATCTACTAATGTCATATGCTGGACTGAACTATGCAGGTTATTTCTTTTAATTCTTACAACAGTCAACAGTTAATGAAATAGTTATTATTGATTCAATTTAATATATGAGGAAACATAGGCTAAGAGGGCTTATGTGAATTTCCAGAGAGCCACAGCTAGTAAGTTACAGACTTGATGATTCTAAACTCACATTTTCTTCCCTGAGGCCGACCCGTGTATGCAGTAGCCATGCTACGTGAATGAAGCAATGGGTCCTGAGATGTTTCAAGTCTCCTATCCACCCCCCTCCTCCAAGCTGGTGCTTCTGCACAGAATGCAGGGTCCCAATCCTAGCTCTGCTTTTCACAGCACTGGCAAGTGACCCACTGGTCTCCTCCTTGACCAATTGGGCATCAAGCAGTGCAAAAGTAAATCCCTCCGTAAGCTGGGAGAGTCATTCTGTGGGCTACTCCTGCATGCAGGTGGGTACATATCTTCTGGGTCCCGGGACCCTGCCTAAGAAAGTTGAGGGGGTGAAAAGATTAAGCAAACAGCTGAGTATCTATGACTACTAGATAAGGGTGACAATATCTGTATCAGGTTAAAAGCAGCTATTCAAAAATATTGTCATCATTATTACATTATCACCACCACTATTACTAACTGCTCTTGGCAATTTACATTAACCCACTTAGACTCAAGGTCCTAGGACAAAAAATAAGGTTGACACTACTGTAATGACCTAAGATTGCCATGATGGTTACATTACAAGATAAATTCATTTATGTTCCCTGGCAAATTATTCATTGTTAGTAAGATAGGAGAGATAAGTTGTTTTCTCTTTTAGATGTGATAAAAATGAGATTATAATTATCTTGCAGATGTTGACTCCTGTGTATTTTATTTCCCCACAGTCCTACAAAGCTTCCTGGCAAATGAGCCTTCCTGGCCTCTTAATTCCCTACATTTAACAATCTGTTTAAATCTAGTACTGACTGAATTCCTTTTCCAATTATTTTATAATGTAGATCTACATTCAAGACACATTTCTGGCTCTTCCTTTTCTTCATAATATCTTTGAATACTCAAGTCCACACTAATCTCTGTCTCCACTACAAACTTGGCAATAAACAGTCTTTCATTTTTTAGTATTCATTTATGTTATCCTATTTGTTAAGTTGTAAACTCTTAGACAGCAAAGACTCCATATTCTGATACATCTTACTACTTACTATAGCACCCAGCCTTGTGCCTTGCATAAAGTAGAAGCTCAATAAATAATTACTGTTGGATAAATTCATGTAAGTTATTTATGAAGTCAGTCATTTACTTTTATAAGCAGAACTCAAATGAAGCTCTAAAAAATTGAATACCATAGTTTTAACATGATATAAAATATGGCACTGTTTTATGTGGTAAATAAAATTAGGACTGAAAATTCATTTAAAATCCAGAAAAGATTAGTTTGTGAGAGATGAATTCATTATAACTTATTTAAGTGGAAATAATTATTTTAAAGGGAGACCTCACACGTTTTTTAGTCCTAATATTATGGATGGTAAACTTGCCTTCTTAGAAATATATTTAGAACCCTCAGCCAAAAAGGATATTAGGCTATAGGTCTAACCTCAGTGTAAAAAAATATACACAACTTGCAGTTCATTATAACCTTACTAATTTTAGACAATTGAGTTGAAATATATCCCTAGAAAATGTATATTAAACTAAATAAATTTTTGATTGAAATACAAAACCCAGTAAAAAATATGACATACTTCTCCTGACAATTGGCAAGGACCATTAGAAAGACTTCTTCAATGCAATATCTGTTTTTAAGTTATTGTTTTTTTTAAACTATCGTCTTTATTGACACCATTGAACCAAGGACGAAAAATTTGAACATCAAATATGTGGGTGATACAAAATAGAAGTAGAAAAGATTAAAAAAAAATAGTAGAAGAAGAAAAAAGAAAAGAAAAGAAAAAAATAAAATAGAAGTAGAAAATGGGTCATGTGCCTCTTTTTAAACTGCCTTGTCTTTAGGATTCAGAAACTGGCCTCTTTTTTAAAATAAAATAAATATTTTCTTCCTTAGAAACATGGTAAGAAGGAGTATACTACCTTGTGAATAAGTGTGGTATTATGATACAATTTTATTATTTTCCCCTTATTATTTTAATGCAGAATAGATGGTCTGAAATCCCCCTACATCTCCCCAGCCACACATACAATGAGTGGCCAGATTATTATGATCTCTGAACTCATAATAATCTGGCCACTCAATGTATATCCTATATAATAAAAGGCTAATATGCAAATTGTCCCCTTGACCAGGAGTTCGACAAGCAGTCAGGTTGGCCAACTGCCCATGTCCCCTCCCCCTGGCCAGGCTGGCTGGACCCCACCCATGCACGAATTCATACACCAGGCCCCCAGAGATCATAATAACCTGGCCACTCAGTGCATTTTACACTGAATACAAGATGTGGTAAGGCAGTCTTTTAAATAGATTTTTAAAACTTAATTTATTAAAATTACATATGAGCCAAGGACAATAAGGGGGAGGGAGCATTAGTGAGGAGGGGTGGGGGATTGGAATGGGGGGTTGAGGACAAATATGTGATACCTTAATCAATAAAGAAATTAAAAATAAAATACGTATTTTCTGGAGTATGACTTTTGAAAAGAAAAAAAAAGTCAACCGAAAATCTGGGGCAAAAGACCAAAATTGCACAAAAATTACTTGCAGATCTTGACAGCAAAGTAAGTCTTTTCTTTGAAGTGGAGGGTAGTCTTATACAGCAAATATAGGTCTAAACCTATGTTTTAACTGTAAAATTAGGGGGTCGTCTTATATGCTGGAAAATATGGTATCTGGCATACACCCCCCAAAAAATAATAAATAAATAAAATAATATAGCTGAGGGGCTTGTCTTTGAGGTCCATGTGGGTAGGTGAGAATCTGTCAACATATGTCTGTTCTGAGCATTTTTCCTAAGAGCAACATGCTATTTTGTACCCCATGTCATTATTTTTGCTTTTTACACCCTTGCTGGTATATTTTATTTTACTTGAAAACTTTGAGGATGGAAAAAGTATGATTGTTTAGATTCTCTCATTATATAAAAACAGTTTTTGTGATAGACTATGAATTCGTAGTCTTTGATAAACATCTGCTTAAAGAATATAGTACTCAAAAGAAAAAAAAGCAATTTATCTAAGAATTGCTTTTTCTCTCCTTGTATTTACTCTTTTGCCAGCTTGATGAATTTGTATTGCCTATGTGTTCTTTGTTACTGTTGAGACAGCAAATTTTTATCTGGAGCAGATGGTGTAACTGACATTGTTCAAATGCTTAGCATTCATTCTGCTGCAGGGAATTTTTATCGTTGAATTTCTAATTTAGCAGTATTAACTAATTGAAAGTATGAGCTATACTGTCTGGGATGTCTAATACATATATATATATATATATATATATATATATATATATGTATATATTAGATGTCTAATATATATATATATATATTTATAGTGGCCAGATTATTATTATCTCTAAACACATAATAATCTAGCCATTCAGTGTGTATATGTATATATATATATTAAAGGCCTGGTGCATGAATTTATGCATGGGTGGGGTCCGGCCAGCCTGGCCAGGGGGGAGGGGACATGGGCAGTTGGGCAGCCTGCCTGCTGGTCGAACTTCTGGTCAAGGGGACAATTTGCATATTAGCCTTTTATTATATAGGATATACACTGAGTGGCCATATTATTATGCATTCAGAGATCATAATAATCTGGCCACTCAGTGTGTGTGTGTATGTGTGTGTGTGTGTGTGTGTGTGTGTGTGTAAAGATTTATTTTATTAAGTTAATATATATGTACATAGCATGATAATGAATAAATGCTATAAAATTTTAGTCATTAATTGTACATGTATTTATCATGGACTTTGCTTGTTTCCTTTATTAATGTCTCCATAATTTATCCCCTTCAAAATTAAAAATAATTATGTGTCTCAATGCTTTTTGGATAGAATGTTTAAATATAAACCTATTTTTAAACTTCAAATGTAAACACTTTTGTCTACAGTGCCCTACCTTACATAGAAAGCCAGAATAGTTCATTTTTTTTACCATGAGGAAAGAATTAGAGAATGCCATTTTTTCACTCTTAGCCACATACTCAATACTGGAATGATTAAAACTGGACCAATAAATGTTTTATATTTAACACAACTTTTAAAACTAAGGAAATGAGTGAATATTTATAAAAATACAACAACTTTTAAGAATAGCAGAAGTATTCAGTATATAGAATTTCACATGTCATGGTTTTTCAGTGATTACTACTTTTAGAAATAATTTCACTCACTATAAGGTAAATTGTAAACAGTATCCCATAATTGGACAGCAACGGAATAATTCTAATTGATCACATGTTGAGCAAGTCAACTATTGTTAGAGTGACCATACATTCCAGTTTGTCCAGGATAGTCATAGTTTATACTTATTGAATAAATATTAATAACACTTTATTTGACTCTCAAAGATATCTGTTTGAATGCTAAATTACATTCTTATTCTATCTTCATGCACCCATATAAACCTAAGAGTTACAGGGTGAAATGCATAAAAGAACTATAAGCAAATGGTCCTTACCCAAAGGAGCATGCAATTCATGACACAAGAAGTATTACAAAAATACTCCATAATTCTTTGTTTTAAATTTCCAAATGTGTGGGAATTCAGAAAATAGAGAAATGGATATGGACTAGAGTGGTTAAGGCTAGCGTAAGTAGTTGCTCTGCTAAAGAATCTTGCATACAGGAGGTCACATTGACAAAAAGTTCCAGAGATAGAAATAATTATAATTCACAGTTGATCAGTCAACAGTGGAAATGACTGAACAGAAAGAAGAGTATGGTGGAAAGAATAATTGACAAGGACTTAGACATTCTGTTCTCTTGTCCTAGCTCTGCCATTGGCAAAGTTTGTCATTGAGTAAATTACTTCTCTCTTTTGACAGTAGTTCCTTCATCTATAAAAAAGCGAGTTAACTAGATTCATCCATTCACCAGTTATTTATTGTGAGATTACTTCCATTACTCTGTGCAAGGCACTCCATGGAAGAACTATGCAAATGATCTCCAAAGTTCAATTTCTGCTCTAACTTCTATGGCAATCACTTTTATTCCCAGTGTTCCCAGTAACATAGGTATAGCCTGTTTGGTATCATGGGCTTCTCTGTCAGAAATGAACATTTCTTGCAGGTAAGTGAAACCAAGCCAGCAAATATTTGTTGTGTTAAATTGGTTTGAAACATACTAGCAAGTGCCCTTTCCTAATTGGTTTGGGATCATATTTTCTTTTCCTGTGATAATGATGTAACCCCAGAATGGTAGGTGGTTTTTCCAGGAGAAGCTGGCATAGCCATTATGCTACTGAGGCTACAGCTGACTTAGCTGAGAAGCATGGGAATTGTGCACTG